TCGTGTGTACAACTTATCGTGTGTTCAACCCACCGTGTGTTCAACCCACCGTGTGTTCCACCCACCGTGTGATCAACCCACCGTGTGTTCAACCCACCGTTTGTTCAACCCACTGTGAGTTCAACCCACCTTGTGTTCAACCCACCGTGTGTTCAACCTACCGTGTGGTCAACCCACCTTGTGTTCAACCCACCGTGTGTTCCACCAACCGTGGGTTCAACCCACCGTGTGTTCCACCCACCGTGTGATCAACCCACCGTGTGTTCAACCCACTGTGTGTTCAACCCACCGTGTGTTCCACCCACCGTGTGTTCCACCCACCGTGTGTTCAACGCACCGTGTGTTGAACCCACCATGTTTTGAACCCACCGTGTGTTCAACCCACCGTGTGTTCCACCCACCGAATGTTCCACCCACCGTGTGTTCAACGCACCGTGAGTTGAACCCACTGTGAGTTGAACCCACCGTGTGTTCAACCCACAGTGTGTTCCACCCACCGTGTGATCAACCCACCGTATGTTCAACGCACCGTGAGTTGAACCCACTGTGAGTTGAACCCCCCGTGTGTTCAACGCACCGTGCGTTCAACCCACCGTGTGATCAACCTACTGTGTTTTCAACCCACCGTGTGTTCAACCCACCGTGTGCTCCACCCACCGTGTGTTCAACGCACCGTGCGTTCAACCCACCGTGTGTTCAACCTACCGTGTGTTCAACCCACCGTGTGTTCAAAGCACCGTGTGTTCAACCCACCGTGTGTTCAAGTTATCGTGTGTTCAACCCAACGTGTGTTCAACCCACCGTGTGTTCCACCCACCGTGTGATCAACCCACCGTGTGTTCAACCCACCGTTTGTTCAACCCACCGTGTGTTCAACCCACCTTGTGTTCAACCCACCGTGTGTTCAACCTACCGTGTGTTCAACCCACCTTGTGTTCAACCCACCGTGTGTTCCACCCACCGTGTGTTCAACGCACCGTGTGTTGAACCCACCATGTGTTCAACCCACCGTGTGTTCCACCCACCGTGTGTTCAACGCATCGTGTGTTGAACCCACCGTGTGTTCAACCAGCTGTGTGCTCAACCCACCGTGTGTTCAACCCACTGTGTGTTCAACCTATCGTGTGTTCAACCCACCGTGTGTTCCACCCACCTTCTGATCAACCCGCCGTGTGTTCAACCCACCATGTGTTCAACCCACCGTGTGTTCCACCCACCGTGTGTTCAACGCACTGTGTGTTGAACCCACCGTGTGTTCAACCCACCGTGTGTTCAACCCACCGTGTGTTCAACCCACCTTGTGTTAAACCCACCGTGTGTTCAACCTACCGTGTGTTCAACCCACCTTGTGTTCAACCCACCGTGTGTTCCACCCACCGTGTGTTCAACGCACCATGTGTTGAACCCTCCGTGTGTTCAACCCACTGTGTGTTCAACCCAGCGTGTGTTCCACCCACCGTGTGTTCAACGCATCGTGTGTTGAACCCACCGTGTGTTCAACCCGCCGTGTGTTCAACCCACCGTGTGTTCAACCCACCGTGTGTTCAACCTATTGTGTGTTCAACCCACCGTGTGTTGCACCCACCTTCTGATCAACCCACCGTGTGTTCAACGCACCGTGTGTTGAACCCACCGTGTGTTCAACCCACCGTGTGTTCAACCCACCGTTTGTTCAACCCACCGTGTGTTGAACCCACCGTGTGTTCAACCCACTGTGTGTTCAACCTACCGTGTGTTCAACCCACCTTGTGTTCAACCCACCGTGTGTTCCACCCACCGTGTGTTCAACGCACCGTGTGATGAACCCACTGGTGTTCAACCCACCGTGTGTTCAACCCACCGTGTGTTCCACCCACCGTGTGTTCAACGCATCGTGTGTTGAACCCATCGTGTGTTCAACCCGCTGTGTGTTCAACCTACCGTATATTCAACCCACCGTGTGTTCAACCTATCGTGTGTTCAACCTACCCTAAACCCTAAACCCTAAACCCACCTTCTGATCAACCCACCGTGTGTTCAGCCCACCATGTGTTCAACCCACCGTGTGTTCCACCCACCGTGTGTTCAACGCACTGTGTGTTGAACCCACCGTGTGTTCAACCCACCGTGTGTTCAACCCACCGTTTGTTCAACCCACCGTGTGTTGAACCCACCATGTGTTCAACCCACCGTGTGTTCAACCTACCGTGTGTTCAACCCACCTTGTGTTCAACCCACCGTGTGTTCCACCCACCGTGGGTTCAACCCACCGTGTGTTGAACCCACCGTGTGTTCAACCCACCGTGTGTTCAACCCACCGTGTGTTCCACCCACTGTGTGTTCAACGCACCGTGTGTTGAACCCACCATGTTTTGAACCCACCGTGTGTTCAACCCACCGTGTGTTCAAGCCACCATGTGTTCCACCCACCGAGTGTTCAACGCACCGTGAGTTGAACCCACCGTGTGTTCAACCCACCGTGTGTTCAACCCACCATATGTTCCACCCACCGTATGTTCAACGCACCGTGAGTTGAACCCACCGTCAGTTGAACCCACCGTGTGTTCAACCCACCGTGTGTTCCACCCACCGTGTGATCAACCCACCGTGTGTTCAACCCACTGTGTGTTCAACCCACCGTGTGTTCCACCCACTGTGTTCAACGCACCGTGTGTTCAACCCACCGTGTGTTCAACCCACCGTGTGTTCAACCCACCGTGTGTTCAACGCACCATGTGTTCAACCTACCGTGTGTTCAACCCACCTTGTGTTCAACCCACCGTGTGTTCCACCAACCGTGGGTTCAACCAACTGTGTGTTCCACCCACCGTGTGATCAACCCACCGTGTGTTCAACCCTCTGTGTGTTCAACCCACCGTGTGTTCCACCCACCGTGTGTTCAACGCACCGTGTGTTGAACCCACCATGTTTTGAACCCACCGTGTGTTCAACCCACCGTGTGTTCCACCCACCGTGTGATCAACCCACCGTGTGTTCAACGCACCGTGAGTTGAACCCACTGTGAGTTGAACCCACCGTGTGTTCAACGCACCGTGCGTTCAACCCACCGTGTGATCAACCTACCATGTTTTCAACCCACCGTGTGTTCAACCCACCGTGTGCTCCACCCACCGTGTGTTCAACGCACCGTGCGTTCAACCCACCGTGTGTTCAACCTACCGTGTGTTCAACCCACCGTGTGTTCAAAGCACCGTGTGTTCAACCCACCGTGTGTACAACTTTTCGTGTGTTCAACCCACCGTGTGTTCAACCCACCGTGTGTTCCACCCACCGTGTGATCAACCCACCGTGTGTTCAACCCACCGTTTGTTCAACCCACTGTGAGTTCAACCCACCTTGTGTTCAACCCACCGTGTGTTCAACCTACCGTGTGTTCAACCCACCTTGTGTTCAACCCACCGTGTGTTCCACCAACCGTGGGTTCAACCCACCGTGTGTTCCACCCACCGTGTGATCAACCCACCGTGTGTTCAACCCACTGTGTGTTCAACCCACCGTGTGTTCCACCCACCGTGTGTTCCACCCACCGTGTGTTCAACGCACCGTGTGTTGAACCCACCATGTTTTGAACCCACCGTGTGTTCAACCCACCGTGTGTTCCACCCACCGAATGTTCCACCCACCGTGTGTTCAACGCACCGTGAGTTGAACCCACTGTGAGTTGAACCCACCGTGTGTTCAACCCACAGTGTGTTCCACCCACCGTGTGATCAACCCACCGTGTGTTCAACGCACCGTGAGTTGAACCCACTGTGAGTTGAACCCACCGTGTGTTCAACGCACCGTGCGTTCAACCCACCGTGTGATCAACCTACTGTGTTTTCAACCCACCGTGTGGTCAACCCACCGTGTGCTCCACCCACCGTGTGTTCAACGCACCGTGCGTTCAACCCACCGTGTGTTCAACCTACCGTGTGTTCAACCCACCGTGTGTTCAAAGCACCGTGTGTTCAACCCACCGTGTGTTCAAGTTATCGTGTGTTCAACCCAACGTGTGTTCAACCCACCGTGTGTTCCACCCACCGTGTGATCAACCCACCGTGTGTTCAACCCACCGTTTGTTCAACCCACCGTGTGTTCAACCCACCTTGTGTTCAACCCACCGTGTGTTCAACCTACCGTGTGTTCAACCCACCTTGTGTTCAACCCACCGTGTGTTCCACCCACCGTGTGTTCAACGCACCGTGTGTTGAACCCACCATGTGTTCAACCCACCGTGTGTTCCACCCACCGTGTGTTCAACGCATCGTGTGTTGAACCCACCGTGTGTTCAACCGGCTGTGTGCTCAACCCACCGTGTGTTCAACCCACTGTGTGTTCAACCTATCGTGTGTTCAACCCACCGTGTGTTCCACCCACCTTCTGATCAACCCGCCGTGTGTTCAACCCACCATGTGTTCAACCCACCGTGTGTTCCACCCACCGTGTGTTCAACGCACTGTGTGTTGAACCCACCGTGTGTTCAACCCACCGTGTGTTCAACCCACCGTGTGTTCAACCCACCGTGTGTTCAACCCACCGTGTGTTCCACCCACCGTGGGTTCAACCCACCGTGTGTTCCACCCACCGTGGGTTCAACCCACCGTGTGACCAACCCAACGTAGGTTCAACCCACCGTGTGTTAAACCCACCGTGTGTTCCACCCACTGTGTGTTCAACGCACCGTGTGTTGAACACACCATGTTTTGAACCCACTGTGTGTTCAACCCACCGTGTGTTCAAGCCACCATGTGTTCCACCCACCGTGTGTTCAACGCACCGTGAGTTGAACCCACCGTGTGTTCAACCCACCGTGTGTTCAACCCACCATGTGTTCCACCCACCGTGTGTTCAACGCACCGTGAGTTGAACCCAGCGTGAGTTGAACCCACCGTGTGTTCAACCCACCGTGTGTTCCACCCACCGTGTGATCAACCCACCGTGTGTTCAACCCACTGTGTGTTCAACCCACCGTGTGTTCCACCCACTGTGTGTTCAACGCACCGTCTGTTCAACCCACCATGTGTTCAACCTACCGTGTGTTCAACCCACCATGTGTTCAAACCACCGTGTGTTCAACCCACCGTGTGTTCAACCTATCGTGTGTTCAACCCACCGTGTGTTCAACCCACAGTATGTGGAACATGGACATGGACGTGGACGTGGACGTGGTCGTGGACGTGGAGGACTTGGACGTGGACATGGACGTGGACGAGGACTTGGACTTGGACGAGGACTTGGACTTGGACGTGGACGTGGACATGGACGTGGACGTGGACGTGGACGTCGACGTGGACGTGGACGTGGACGTGGACGTGGTCGTGGTCGTGGACGTGGACGTGGACGTGGACGTGGACGTGGACGTGGACGTGGACGTGGTCGTGGACGTGGACGTGGACGTGGACGTGGACGTGGACGTGGACGTGGACGCTCTCGGGAAGTCTCTTGGTGAGAAAATCTGCCGCCTGCTTGCTAGCCTTCACATGGTGAAGCTCAACAGCTCCCTCCTTCACCATCTGCCTCACCCAGTGCCACTTAAACTTCATGTGCTTGTTCAGCCCATTCAGGATAGGATTATTGGCCATGCCAATAGCAGCCTCGCTGTCGGAGAAAAGTGGTGTAGGTCCCTCCTGTTCAGCTCCCATGTCCTCCAGCAGCTTCCTTAGGAGCACGATCTCCTTGATGGCATGGTACATCGCCATGTACTCTGCCTCTCTAGAAGACTGAGCAATCTCACTCTGCTTCTTGGACCTCCAGCTCACTGGTCCACCTCCGACCATGCACACAAAGCCGCCAACCGATGACTGATCCTCATCCTCTGAGGCCCATGTTGTGTCGGTGAAGCACGACAGCTTCAAGGTACCAGGCGTGACCCCATCTGCTCCAATCTGTTTCAGCTGGCCGCCAGCTGAAAACTGAACACCAGCAGATGCTGTTGATCCGAGGTAGCGCACCAAGCGCTTTGCCACCTCGAACTGCTCCACAGTGGGCCGTTGCACAACTCTGGCCAGCTGCCCCACTCCGAATGAAGCATCAGGTCGCGTATGCACAGCTGCATACATCACACTCCCAATGAGTGACTGGTACTCATTCTGCTGCTCATCCTCAAGCACATCATCCTCCTCTACTGCCTTCTTCAATTTGAAGCTTGCAGGGAACGGTGTCATCACAGTGCGACCCCCAATCACACCATACCACTCCATGACACCAGAGATGTAGTATGACTGATGCACCTTCAGCCACCTCCTCTCAACATCCCTCTCAATCTGCAGCCCCAAGTAGTAGTGGACATCCCCCAGCATCTTGCATTTGAAGTTGTCCATCAGCAGCTTCTGTGTCCTCTCAATCTGCTCCATGGATGGTGAGAACAGCAGTATGTCATCGACATACACCAGCAGCAAAAGCAACTGCTCCCCCTCTCCAAGCAGAAACAAGCTGTGATCCGCCTGGGACGTCTTAAAGCCTCCACCCAGCAGCACCTCCTCCAGCTTCTCGTACCAACACCTGGGTGCTTGCTTAAGGCCATAGATGGCCTTCTTAAGCTTGCACATCCAGCTGGTCCCATCCTCATAGCCGTCGGGCTGCGCCATGTAGATATCCTCCAGCAGTATTCCATTGAGGAATGCAGTGGTGATATCCATCTGCTTCACGTGCCATCCCTTCACAGCTGCGCCAGCCATCAAAGTCCTTAGTGTCAATGGCTTAGCAATAGGAGCGAAGATCTCCCCAAAGTCGACCTTCTCCTTCTGCTGAAACCCCTTGGCGACCAAACGGCTCTTGAACCGCTCCAACGCACCATCAGCACCACTCTTCACTTTGAAGACCCACTTGCTGCTGATCGGCCGTCGCCCCTCGGGTAACTCAACAAGCTCCCAAGTCCCATTCTCAATGAGACTGTTGAACTCTGCATCCATGGCAGCCCTCCACTCCTCCTTTTGGGGTCCACTGAGTGCCTCCTCCACTGTGGCTGGTTCTCCAGGCAAGGGTGTGAAGAAACAGAACGCCATCTCCTCATCCTCTCCCTCATCCGCCTGAACCGCCATGGCACCTTGCTTGGGTCCTCCCAAACGGCTATACTTCAGCCTTGAGGGTGCTGCTGCCACTCTCTTCTCACGGGTTGCAATCTGCTGCCGATGTGGTGAAGCTCCTTTCTGCACACTCCTCTTCGTGACCTTGGCGTTTGCAGCAGGCTCGGGCTGAGAAGGTGAGTCCACACGTGCCGACTCATCCTCCAACCCCTCCTCCGCAGCAGGACCAGCGCCTTGCTGCTCACCACCGCCACTGTGATCACTTGTCAGCTCTGACCCAGGGAGATCCTCAAGGTGCAGCTGAACCTCCTCCACTGCAGACCGCTCAATCTTCTGCAGACGCAAGCCAATCTGCACCTGCTGCTGCTGCTGCCAGTCCTTGTACATGACGTCCTCCACAAACTTGACGTCACGGCTGACCAGCGACTTCTTGCTCTTGGGGTCCCACATCAGCCACCCCTTCGAGTCTGGAGCCATCCCAATATGGACAGCCCACACAGCAGCCACTTCCAGCTTGTGCCTCTGCTCCTTAGGCACCATCACAAGCCCCATGCAGCCCCACACCCGCAGCATGTCAATAGATGGCTTCTTCCCAAGCCAACGCTCGTACGGCACCCAATGCTTGTCGCCAACATGAGTCAAGACCCTGTTCTTGACCATGATGACATGGCAAACGGCATCAGGCCAGAACTTGTAGGGCATCCCAGCAGCCCCCAACAAGGTCTTAGCCGCCTCGCCAATGGTCTGGTTGGCACGCTCAGCAATGCCGTTCTGCTGCGGTGTTCCAGGGCAGGTCAGCTGATGCCGGATGCCATTTCTCTTGAGGAACTTGGTGAATTCCGCTCCAAGGAACTCTCCACCTCGATCGCTCCTCAGCACCTTCACCAGCCGCATCGCTTGCCGCTCCACCATCGGCAACCAATCCTCCTTGATTGCCGCTGCAGCATCGCTCTTCTTGGACAAGGGACGCGCCCACGTGAAACGGCTCCATTCGTCCACCATGGTGAGGATGTAGAGCACTCCCCCAGTCCCCTCAGTCCTCATAGGACCCACCAGGTCCATGTGCACCACCTCCAATGGTGCCTTCGCTGATCCCTCCGCTCGTGGGAACGGGAACCGCGCAAACTTGTTTTGCATGCACGCCTCGCAGCTGCCATAGTGAGTGCCGTCTCCTTGCAGTTGCAGCCCATGCACGCACTTCTCCTTGTGCATCACCTCCAATGTAGAAACAGCCACGTGTGCGAGCCGCCGATGCCAAGTCTCCCAATCCGCTTGGCCCGAGGTAGCCGACGCCTTCACCCCCGCGCTTCCTCCAATCAGCTCCTCTCCTTGCACACCTTGCTGCTCCTCCTCGGTAACGCTCTCCTCCATAGATGCCGCCATTGCCGCCTTGCCCAATTTCCGCCAAGGGAGGACCGGGATCTGCCACATCCGCTTGTGGACATCCCCTTTCCACTGCAGGTCCCAAATCAGCCGCTCATCGTTGTAGGCACGATAGCGCTCCGAGCCAATCGTCTCGGTGTTCACACCCGCATCTCCCAACCGGCCGGTAGAAATCAGGTTTGCGCACAAGTCCGGCACCCACAGCACGTTCTTCAGCCCCACGAGCTCTCCATCCGCTCCCATGAACTTGGCGCATCCCATGCCCATGACCTTGGCCTTAGCGCCCGTCGCGGATGTGACTGTAGAGATGGGTGCGGGCTGTTTCTCATCAAGTAGGTCCGCACGAGGAGTCATGTGCCAAGAGCTCCCGGAGTCAATTACCCAATGGGTGAGGGGGTGTAGGAGAACCTTGGCAGCCATAGCGTGGTCGGTTGCGCCTTCGTTCACGAAGAAGAAGAACCCGGCCTTCCGCTCCTCAGATTTGCCGCCTTTCTCCTCATCCTTCTCCTCTCCACTAGCTCCCATGACTCCCCCACTCCTTGTGCCACCACGCTGGTTGCTTGATCAAGGCGGGGTCCAATCCTTGGGTCGTTGGTAGCACTTCCGCCAACGATGTCCGCGCTTCTTGCAGTAGTAGCACACCTCCCCTTGACCCCCGCCGCCATCCTCTTTAGGGTTATTCTTGTTCTTGCCCTTCCACTTCTTCTAGAAGCCACTCTTTCCACCTCCAACTCCATAGCCAGCCCCCTCCTCCGAGCGCTCCACACTCCGCCGCCGCAGGTCCTCCTCTAGGATGCGCGCGCGAATGTAATCCACGCTCCATTGGGGTTGTTGGGAGTTGAGGTTGATCGCTAGGGCAGACCATGACTCCGGCAGCCGTATCACGATCTCCACGCATTGCACGAGCTCCGGGTACACCACACCACCTCCTTGGAGCTTCGTGAAGATGTCGCGCATCTCATCCAACACCGGTTGCATCGGCTCTCCATCAACGAACTTGATGTCGCGCAGCCGCCGCGCGAGTAGCACGATGCCGGTAGCATGTGTCGGTGATTGCACATCTAGAAGCTTACTCCAAGCCTTGGGGCCACACTCTGGATCACCCAAGAGGTCCTTGATGTGGTCAAGTTGCCGTCCGCCCACCGCTTGCACCATAAGCATGTACGCGTCGAACGATCATTTCATCCACGCTCCTTTCAGCTCCGCGGCCTCCGGCATCTTCTCCTTTCCCTCCACCAAATCCAATAGCTTGTATTGGGTATACATCAGCCTCACGCGGAAACTCCAGTGCTCGTAGTCCTCCCCCATGAATTTCTCAATAGAGAAAGCTTTCACAGGATCCACGGTAGTAGGAGATAGTGTAGAAGAAGTAGGTAGCATAGGTTTGGCTGGTTGGTGAGTCCCCACTCCTCCACCAGCAACTCCCCCTTGATCTCCAGCCTCTCTACTTCTATCCATCTCGCCACTAGCACCTCCGGAGTTCGTACCAACCATATTGAGGCCTTATGAACGGTGGAAACTTGAGAAATCGTTTGGAGAGAATTCTGCCAGAAATTTCGATTCTACGCAAATCGCCGTCGCGGACTGAATACTTCGAATTAGAACGCGATTTGGCCACCAATCAAAAGTTCGCGAGCCGAGCTACTAGAAAATGGTCTCACTTGACAACATTGGTGTTGTGTGATGCAATCATATGCATTCACGTCTGTCTGCCTCCCATCATATGTTCGTGCGTTGCATGCGTGGTGTGAGCGTGTGCAATAATTTGTGTTTGATGTGGTTTGGTTTTTCTGAGTGTGTGTGAATGTTATTTGGCTTGAGCAGATATCTGAAGTGACTCCTCTGCTCAAGAGCTTTCCGACGAACCAAGTATCGCTTCAATCGGAGCACGAACAAGAAAGTTACGAACGTTGGAGTTCGTATGCTTTTGATATTTGGTTGTGGTGACTATGGGAAGTTGTGGGGTTGACTCAATATGGGGTACAGACTTTTGGGGGTTGGGAAATTCGTCAACATCACTGTAGTTGTTGCCAAATGGTTGGGAGAAACCAAACCAGGTTGGCAAGTGTGGCCAAGTTGGGTTGAGGTGAATTGTGGAGGTTGGGAAAGTGACAAAACTGAAAGTGGGGTTGCCTATGGAGAAGGGAATTGTGTGGCATGG